CAAGAGGGCATTAGATGACTGTTGGGCTTCTACTTTCCCTGAAGCAGTTTGATGGTAAGTGCCTATTATTCTTGAGCGCCATTGCCCAGGACGTGATACTGTACCTTACTTTCTGCCTTTCAGAAAAAACCTATTGACTCGCAGTGTTGGAAGCCACAAGAACAGCCAACAACACATCAATCTGGACGCAAGATTGGCCCGGGCCACACATCGTCCTGTGCAAACTGAACTGAACTTGAATTTTCCGCGGTATTCTGATGGGGTGTAAGTAAAATGACCGGGCTTCTGAGCCGTGAACCGTTGCAGAGGTCAGAAGTGGAGCGGATTTCAGAACACGTGTATAAAGCTAAAGGAAAGTCGTTATGTGAACCACTACTACAGCCCTTCTGGAGTTGGTCCTCAAAGTACGTCCCCAAAAGAATCGCTCCCAACACTCTCACTGTTGCCGGACTTGTTGGGAATGCTATCAGTGTTGCTATTATCGTGTATTATGATCCCAAACTTGACTCTGAAGTAACCTCGTAATGCTGAATTTAATATCTTCCAGCTTCCTACATTCGTAGTTCTTTTGCACCTATTAGCCGTCTTTCTATACCAAACACTGGACGCCCTCGATGGCCTCCATGCTCGCCGGACGAATACCTGTTCACAGTTGGGTGAACTGTTTGATCATGGATGTGACGCTATTTCCATGTGTAAGTGTTCTGCTACCTCTCATCCTATTTTCATAGTTCTGTTGCCCCTAGGATATTTCTCTATCCTCGGAATGGGTCATCATCCAATTCTTATGTTCATACAATTCATCATCCTTAACTGCGTCTTTTACACCTCGCACTGGCAGTGTTACGTCACTGGGGTAATAGAATTCGATAGGTTGGTTACGATCTTTGTTTGGTAAAATGTTCTCAGTTTCAGCGTGACAGAAGCCTTGCTGGTTAGCATGGGTTTCTCAGCGGTCACGGCCATCTTCGGTATCGGGTTCTGGGACATAAAGGTAGGTTCGTCACGAGGTGCTATTTTTATATTTTACCGTTGTTTTGAATCATGAAACGCACCATGTTTTACTTTTTCCATAAAACTGACATCTCTTTATTTTGTTCTGGATACCATACAGTGCCATTTTACGGATATCATATAATTCTTTCCAAAGAAGCAAGTTTGGTTTGAATGTTTCTAAGTGGCTTCTTGCCTGAATTTTTTAAATTAAACGAATGATCTTATTGAAGTTAGTTGTATGTACTGCGGCCATCAACTCATAAATACTTGTCTTCTAATACGATTGAAGTCAACTTTAGTCGGGTGTGTAGTCTCGACGAAGTGACCGNGAAGGATTTTGCCAAATGTGCTTTACGCACTCTGAATGAAGAAATGAAATTGGAGAGCAGCGCTAGTGGTTGCATTCTTCCTGTCTGGAAATGGTTTCTAACCTAACCAAGTGATCTGGCCGATAGACGCTTTTATTTTGCTGCCAACAGTGGTTTGTTAAAGATTATAGCCATTTTCGAGGTTGTATTGTTTGCCGCATTAGTGGTTAATTTTTGTATTCTTTTCTTGTCTTACAGGAAGCACGTGTTTCGTAATGATTACGTGCGGTTTATTGTTCATGAGACTTTCGACCATTGACTTTCATCTTATTTCTGAGTTTTGGTTATATGACTGAGGGATCATGGAATCGTTTTTATTTGGATGTGCAACATCGTAGCCGCCTGAACCCAACATCAATCTTCTTGTTTATACATAATAGTGCTCAATTTAACTTAAGAATGGTCTACTACTTTTGGTAGGCTGCACGGATAAAAGCTGAGTTCCCTATTTTAAACTGCTTTTTCAATTCAACTCAGTAATAACTTTACCCAAATGGGCAAGTTTTCAACCTCGCTTCATGCAGTCGAGGAGTTTAATGGTAGGACATCGAATGTTTTAGTTCGTATGCTTATATATTAAGTCCCCGGTAAATGTTTCCGATGAGCAGCATATGAAACCGACTCCATATCTTGGTCTATAGTAACTACGGGTATTTTCGTCCGAGTATTCATGAATCAAAACAATTTATTTGCTCGTTAAAATCAGAGCAAATAGTTTCTCTTACTTCACGCCCTGAGACCCAATTGCTCACCCGCAGGGTGTTTTCTCACTCAACACATTTTTATTATTCACTTGAATTTGTTTATCAGTTTATTGGCGTGATTCACTGTGTAAACTACGCAGGAACACTTGTATATTTCACGGATGTACTCGTATAAGGTGGCATGGGAATCAGGACGCCAAGGGTGATAATCATAGATACAAAATATAACTGTTCGAATGAAAAATCATGGCCGAATTCAAAGGTCGCTTTAATTGGATTTTCTGAGGACGATTTCTAGTTTTGATAATCCAACATCATATTGATCGTTATGCATATTAGTTCAATTTCACTCCTGTTTTTGTTTCATCTTCACCTTGGGTTACCGAATCTTGCTAAACTGTCTGTTCTTTTCCAGGAACCTATACTTGGTATGGAATTAAGAACGTTGCAGTTCGTGATCATGGTTATCGGCGCATTCATGCTGTTCTGCCGGTTCGCTCAAACCATCTCGATCGGCGGGACCGGGAAATTTGGAACAACAG